TTTTTTTTTTACCACAATTTTAAAAATTAAAAGTAATTCTTTAATATCACCAAACATTGTTGGGTCAATTTTCCACATCCATTTCACCACTCTCCCTAGTGACACACAGATAAACCTCATCTCAACTATAGTCAACATAACCAAAGAGGTTCTAGGATGAGCTATCTTTATGTCTTTTGCTGTTATGGTCAAGGTCACTTCTCATAGAGATAAAGAACGTAGCACATCCCAGGAAGGTGAGGCGAAACCCTGAGGTTTATAGTCCCTCGCCTGAAAAATAAGCCTAAAAAGAACAAAAGGCTGCACAGTCCCAACTCCTGGAGACAGCCTGTATTCTTGGAAAGTCCTATCCACTCTTTAGCTCCCTTTCTGCATAGAGTAAAGCAAAGGGCTAACTGCTCTGAGATGAAGGAGCAATTCATAATTTTTATTTTACAGATGAGAAAAATAAAGCTTAGATAAACTACATGATTGGCTCCAAATTACACAGCTGATAAGAAGCAGAGCCGGGATTTGAACACGGTTTCAAAATCTGTGAAACCATTAGATATATTCTACCTAATTACCAGCACGTACTCCTGAATTTAGAAGGTTTCATTCCAGGTCTGAGAAGCTGCACTACACTGGACTAGCTCTCCACACTGCTGTATAGCGTCTGCATTTCTAGATTTGGCTGTGCTCCAGCCTTTGAGAGACCAGCTCCTTGAAAGGCTTCCTAAATTGCCCAGAAAGATTTAGGGACAAGATCAAGGCTGCCCACCTTTAGAGACAAAGAAAGCTGGGTTTTCCGAGCACGTTCACATTCATGCAAATGCAGGGAGCTTCCCACTCAATTCCTACCACTCCCCTCTTTGAGTAAACATTCTCCAGCCTGGCTGCTCCTCAGATTAATGCTTTAATTAATTGGCAGATTGGGTAGCATTTTCCAAGCCTGTATGTACAGTGATCACATCAGCTGTATAAAACCTGCTTCTTATCCCCCACCTACCCCCACCTAAAGATGTACAATTTGCAGGAAAAACCTGGAGAAAATAAACCTTTGTGTGTGTGAGGTAGTAGAGGGTTGAACTATGCAAGGAATAGAAATACTAGAAAAAACGGAAATATATAAAATACTTTTTTAAAGCACATTAAAAAATGTAAAGTCATCTAGTCTTGCTGCTTTAGAAACATAATTATTACATATGATTTGTTCTGTCATTTTAAAAATATGGTTGGGGCACCCAGGCAGGTGAGCATCTGATTCTTGATTTCAGCTCAGGTCAAGATCTCACAGTTCATGAGATCGAGCCCCGTATCGGGCTCTGCGCTGATAGCTCAGAGCCTGCTGGGGATTCTCACTCTCCCTCTCTGCCCATCCCCTGCTTGCACACTTGCTCTCTCTCTCAAAATGAATAAATAACTTAAAAAAAAAAAGGTCATGTTTAGTATATTTGAGATATAAAAGTCTAGATGGAAAAAATAATCTTTAATTGAGCAGTGGGGCAGGGAACAGATATTCTGAGCTTTCATCCAGTTGCTATAACTGTACTTTCTAGAAAGACTAGGGAAATTTCACAGCCGTGGTTTGACACTTCCAGAGCCATGTACACCATTTTTTTTTTAATTTGGTAAAATCGATTTTTTTTGGTATAGTGTTCTATAAATTTTTTTTTAATTTTTTTTTTCAACGTTTATTTATTTTTGGGACAGAGAGAGACAGAGCATGAACGGGGGAGGGGCAGAGAGAGAGGGAGACACAGAATCGGAAACAGGCTCCAGGCTCTGAGCCATCAGCCCAGAGCCCGACGCGGGGCTCAAACTCACGGACCGCGAGATCGTGACCTGGCTGAAGTCAGACGCTTAACCGACTGCGCCACCCAGACGCCCCTATAAATTTTAACATATGTATAGATTCCTGT